CTTCCTCTTTCCCTTCCTCCAACCTGCTCAGTTCAGCTAAAGCTGTGCAGACTTTCTCTCTTCTGCTCTACATCTCATTTATTTCTCTTCTAGTCTGGCACACCCTTCCCGTCTTCTGTTTGTTCCTGCTTTCGTTTGTTCTTCCAGTTTCAGCAATCAACCTCAACAGCTTGAGAGCACTTCTTAGTGCAGTCAGTTCAACTATGGGTCTGCGCTGGCTCTAACCGGCTGCACCCGCAGCTTCTGTGCTTCACGTTCACCTTCTTCATCTCACAGGGCTCCTCATGCCCGTTCTGAGTTCTAAAATTTCCAGTTTTGTCAGATGGCCACTGATTTCCATTCTGATGCTACAGCCTAGAACACAGCATGCCTGATTCTCACGAGGTTCCTCTGAGTGTCAGCACCTGTCTAGCATGGAGCGAGCGCCCTATGCCCTAAGAATGAGCATGTCCTTTGTTCTTGCAAAGTGACCAGCAGATGGTTGAGAAGTGGATGATCCTCGCTGGTCCTCCATCTCCCAAACTTTGACTGGTCTTCTGCTGAGTTTTCCTACCCATTAGTATAACTATTACATAACCAGTTTTTAAACATTTCTTTTCAAATGTTGGATGGCTTTGCAAATACTATAAGAGTAAAAAGAAAACAATCCTGAAATATGAGCACACAACATCATGGCTACCATGTACAACAGTGCACTGACAAGACCTAAGAAGACTCCGCACCTCCCAGGGACATCTCCCGGCCCATGTGACCACACTGTGACCAAATGTGTTTTCCAATCTGTCAGCAGAAGTGCACTGCTCTGGCATTTTGAAAATGCCTGTAAATTTATAGGCACTGGGAATCTGCAAGCCAGGACAGCTGGGTCAGTCACACTCTAGGCCACTTACACCATCTCCGCTTCCTCCTGGATGACAGCTGCCACAGAAACTGCACTGTACACAGCACTCTGGATTTGCCTCCACAGGCTTGCAAACAACCTGTGGACAGCAGTAGCATTTCCCCACTGGAGGAAGCCGGGCAGATGAATTTAGCTGCTGTCCAGGCTCACATCGCACTTGAGAAAGACATGTACAGTGAAGTAAGAGTGAAGCCCGCACAAAAGCACACACTGCTAAAACTGACTCTGAACGAGATTCGAGCAGCACTTCATCCGCTCACCGTTCCTCAAAGCCTGACTCCGGTGGTAACACAAACTGGAGGCCAACCCAGCTAGTGTTCAGTTGTCCAGTAGGAATGTGCTTCCTGTGCCAATACACTGGATACAGCGCAGCAGCTCCACCTACGTTAACCATGGTCAGGAACATCCTCTCCAGAAAGCAATGCTAAGAGCAAGCTGTACTTCTGAAACTCTGACTTACACAGGAAACACAGAAATAAATATTCTTAATGCTCATAGGAAAATGCATTGTTTGTTCCAGTCCCCTGCCATGTTTGCTTTCAAGAGTAATTTATAGGAAGATGACATACAGAATCAAATCAACCTGAGATTAAACCTCCTGAGCAAGAATCCACTGTGAGATAGTCTTCATCGGGCAGAACAGCCATCGTCATTCTCCCCGTGCAGCCAACGAACATTCAATTACCCTGAGGTATCAGCCCAAAGTGCCTGGTCAAAATTGTTTCTAAATTGAAATAGCAGAGATGCGTGGGGGGAATGCATCTTTGTTGTTTTTTTTTCCCTATGCTCAAAATATTTATTTAAACTAAAATACATACTCTGCTGAAAATGTGTGATTCTAGATGATGAAATAATGTTTCTTAATTTTAAGCCAAATTTAACATTCTTGGACAAAATATGATAGTGGCTGTTTGAAAAGTATAGGATTTACTTAAAAAATATATTGGGGGTGGGGGGGCTTTTAAAAATCCAATAGCAGCAGAATGAGTTCATGAATTATACGACATTATCTCACAGACTACCACATGCAGGAGGCAGGAATGAGTCTCAGAAAGATGTCTCAATACAATAGAGAAAGCATATGTTACAGTCATGCAAGAAAAGCAGTAAGAACACAGTGTGCTGCCAATTGCACAAATACAGGTGTGCAGAAGAGGACTCAGAGGGAGCACCAAAATCACTGTCACCCACAAGTGACCACAGGCTGCATGACCACCCTCCTCCCATCTGCTAACCTTTACTGTGTCCCAGGAACCCAAGCGACTCCTCAGCAACTAGAGGAGGGAATCCCAGAAGAGTGCACCAATGAGGGGAGGTTGAGGGTTCCCACCTATCCTTTCCCCATTATCTGTACTTCCCAAAAGTGGCAACACTCTCTTACATGGGTTTAAAAGTCTGGCTCTTAACTGCACAGTAGATAAATATCATAGGGATGCAATCCAGATGGATTTGCCAAACTCCTACTCTGCAGCATGACACACCCACGAGAGAGTCCTGAGGAAAATGCAGACATCCAGAAGGGCTCATATAAACTGAGTCATAGTAGCCAAGGGTTTCATCTGCTTGCCTGTCTCCCACCTGGGCCTCTTGACCCTATCCTCTTCCCTTGGCTGTAGTGACCTTGAAGGTGATGTAGAGCCTCCCCCGTCCAAGCCCCTAAGACCTGCCCTTCTCAGGGCTGGTCCAGAGCAGTGATTGCCTGCTCTTATCAAAACTTCTGAGACAGCCCATGCACATTCCTTTTCTCAGAGCCTGCAGGAATGCCAACCCAGGTCTGCAAGTCTGGGTCATCCTCAATCTCCACCCAACAACAGTTCAGAACATTCTCTGTGAGAACAGTCCATCTCCCTAAAGCTCTCCAACACATTGCTATGGTCACCAATTCATCTTTCTCGGGCCCAGTTTCTTCTCCACACTGGGCTATTTCTCTACATCCTGTAGCTTAAAAATTTTTTTGCTCTGTGTAGCCCTGGCTATCCTGAAACTCGCTCTGTAAACTAGACTGGCCTTGAACTTAGAGATCTGCCTGTCTCTGCCTCCCAAATACTGGGATTAAAGGAATGCGCCTCCACTGTCTGTTTTTTTTTTTTTAAAAAATAGTTTTAACTTACTTATTTAGTGTGTGTACATAAGTTCATAGTGTGTATGTTCATTTGTATCTATACATATGTATGTCCAAGTGCATGTGTGCATGCGTGCATGTGTGTGTTCAAGTAGGAATGTGTCTGCACCCAGTTCAGAACTGATTCAGAGCATAGTCCCAACCTCCTCCAATCATTGTTTCTCCTGGACAATTAACACCACAGTTTTTGCCATTCACCCTGTCTGCTAATAATCAGGAAATGCATTAAGAAATACTTGGGTCTTACAACATAAGTCAGTGATAAAGCAGTTAAAGCAAATGTATTTACCACATTAATCAAACGCTCCATTTAGCCTGGACCATCAGTCCTCTAAATGTTGTGATTGAACTTCTCCATTAACTGAGGGCCATAGACAGAGGCCCTGCTGCTCTAAGGACCATCAGGAGCACCCTTGTTACCTCTCAGACGTGGCAGGGGAGGACAGAGATGCTAGGGAGTAAGCAGTAGCTCTCCCTAGTTGCTTAGCAATGACCTATGATAGAATCCGTTCACTGGAAGTATTCTCATCCTCGGGGTGACCTGTCCTTGAGTGATCCCATCTCTCCAGATGGCCACAAAAGGAAGGATCTAAAGCAGAATGAGAGCTAAAATGCTTCAGTCCATATCTACATAAAAACAAGCCAGCGCCAGATGAGGAGGGGGCTCGGGGAACAAACAGTGTCAATTTTAAATGCAATGTTCAAGCTAAAGAATGACCCCGCCTTTGTACTCAATTTGTTTCCACAAATGAATCAGAAAGTGTACACATCACTAATCAGACGTTTTATAAACTTAGAAGTGCTCAGAGCAAGTAATATCATTTTACAGTTTGCTACTCTAATGCAAATGAAAGAAAAGGACACATGAGCAGGCAAGAGGCCTCAGTGGGCAAAGAGGCTTGCTGCCAAGCCTGAAAACCTGGGTCCAATCCCCAATACCCACATGGCGGAAGGAGAGAAAAGACTTCTACAAATTGCCCTCTGGCCTCCACAGGCATGCTGCGGCATGTATCTACCTACCTCCCTACCTGCCACCCAACCTACCTACATACACACATACAAAACAAGCTCTAAAATTTTTTTTGAAGATACAGGACTCAGAGAAATGGTACAGTCTACCCCTCACACAGCTAACAATTTATATGTAATTCTTTTCATAAAGCAATGCTACCGATGTCAGAATTAGAAAATTCTGAAAAGTCTGGCTCACAGCTTAGACACAAATCACTAAACACTCTATCACATTAGCCTTACCCATTGAAATGAAGCCCTGAAAGTTAGTGAGCTGAGGGCCACTAGGAAAACTCAAATTCCCAAATAGACTCATTTCTCCACATTTAGTATTTTTTAATGGGGTATTGTCAGTTGTGAGCATATCTGCAGTGGCTGAGTATGGATTTCAAAGTGATTTTTTTTTTAAAGCTGACCTTGGATAAGACTGTCCCTCTCCATGATTGTAAAGGCTGTTCTTGATTGTCAACTTGACTACATCTGGAACTCACAGGCTGTCTGGCTACTCCTTCTGCTGGCAGCCTATATAAAGGACATGGAAGAAGGAAGCTTTTGCTCTTTGCCTGCTTACTCTAATTCTTGCTAGCAAATACATTCCTTCACTGGCCTACTTCAGGATTCCACCACATACTGAAGACCAGCTGAGACATCAGCCTTAGGGACTAAAAAACTACTGGATTCTTGGGCCTTCCACTGGTAGAGAGGCATTTTGGGACTAGTTAGACCACAGCCTATAAACAATTCTAATAAATCCCCTAGATGGATGGATGACGGACAGACAGACAGACTGATTGAATCTATAAGATCTGTCCTTCTAGAGAGCCCTGACCAACACAACTGTCACTCATTAGTATTGTGATGCTGAAAGGCTTTTTCAGCACTGATATAAATGTGCAGAGAACAGAGTGGATCCACTGAAGCTCACACTGGGCATCCAGGAGGCACAGTGTTGTGGTGTGCGCCTACCTATGTACTCGCAAATGAAGACCACGAAGAACGGAGTGACCAGGTCGTTTATCCCCTGAACGTATCCACTGGCAGGGTGTCGGATAGCCCATATAAACAAGATCCTTTCGAAAATCTGAAAGAAAATGGAATTGGCAGTAAAGCAAGAAATGAACATAGTAAAAATTTACTTAAAATATATGCCATCAATATTTCTCACTGTCTCCAATACTAAGGCACAAAACATAGACAGATATCAATTCCAGTTTCTTTGCAAAAGTCCAATGATCTTAACTTTTTATTGGTTCACAGCACCACAGTATTTTACCAAGCCCGGAATTCAGTTCTTCCCCACCATTAGCACTAGCTGCTCTGCTCCCTGGAGACCAGCAGACCACAGGGATGGAGAACAGAGCAGGGCTTGGTAAACAATGGCTCTCTTCTTAGAGATAGATGGGTGGGCAGGTAAGTGGGAAGTGGGAGGGGGTAGAAGGAAGGAAGGGAAGGACGGATGTAGCACACATGCATGTATCCATTTCTCATGCGCATGTACATGCATCCATGTCCCCACAAGGTAAATAGATTTCTTAATTTCCTAGAAAGTTATCTCCATCCAAGAAGACACATTTAGGCACCCAGCTTCCTGAGCCACAAATGTAATAATTATCCTGGCTTCCTTCTTCCTCAGGATACTCACCTTCGCTGACCCTTCCTCTTCAATGTCCTCTTTCAACCCATTCACTCTCCTCCATCTTCACTCTTAAGATTAATCTTATCAAGGTACAACAGAATCACACCACCCAGGCCACCCACACATACGTATGCACATCCCCGCCAAGGCTTAAAGACCTACTGTTGATCCATAAGCATAGTGGCCCACTCTCCCCAAACCAAAAGCCTCTTCTAGCCAGTACCCACATTCTGTACCGTCCTGAGAGCCCAGGAGGTTGCCATCTCAGTTCCCACCACCCTAAGGGCATCTCCTTGCTTCTAGATAAACTAAATGCTGGTATTTGAGACCAGTTCAACAATTCCTTTCTGCACTGCCGGCTCTCTGCCCACCTTTTTTATGGAAGAGCCAGTCACGTCCTACTTTGTGACTCTCTGGTTTCCCGTCCTTCCCACTGTCATTCACTGGTGGCTCCTGCTTAGTATTGGGCTCCAAAGCCAGCCAAGGCCAGAACTTACTACTCTGCCCGACCTCACACAGGCAAGCAGTACAGTAATGGCAGTGAAAGAATGCTCACATGAATAAAAGAGTCGCAGACCCTCTAAGCACACCAAATCTTGAAGAGCCAGCACACTCTGGGACATCAGGCCCTTCCTACATCACCTGCACCCCTATGTATGGCTGGGCTTGGTAGTCTAGAGCCCCAAAACACATCAACCCATGACTTACAGAGGAGAGGCCTAGAGCCCACACAAGCACAGCCTCTGATCCCAAAACAAGGAGTTTACCAGTGGCAAAATGAGCCCTGAAAGGCAGCCCCACTCCCACACCAGTACACCATCACCCCGCTGCTCGAGTGAATAAAAAGCAAGCACCACCTGTAGCACAGCAGGTGCCAGCTCAATATTTGCTGAATGAGTGACATACTCATGCATATAGATTCATATACATTTTCCATCAGTCAAGTTTCCTAGAGAGAAATGAATATTTAAACAAGTTCAGAGGCTAGGGCACAGCTCGCTAACCGGGCACTTGCCTAGCATGGGTGAGGGTCCTGAATACAATCACTAGCACCACTAAACAACTAAAATAAGGTAAAAACGAGCTCAGAGGCTGGGGAGACAGCACAGGTACAAAGTGCCACCCTGTAGCACAAGGACCTCAGGTAGGAATACATATGAAAAGTCAGAGCTGGCTATAATCCCGATTTTAAGGGCAGAAATAGGTAGCAAATCTCTGGAGCTCACTGTCCAGCCTGCCTCGCCGAATCTAAGAGTATCAAGGTTAGTGAGACACACTGGATGGAAAATATAAAACGAAGGCAACCAAGTAAAGAAAGTCAATGCTGACTTGGGACACATGCACACACAAATCCACACTAACAAATCCACAGTACAGTGCTCAGTGCACAGGGGACTGCCACAGCCAACCAGGAGACCTCCATCTGTCCACACCCACAGAGGCAAACAGGACACATCATGAAAGGCCTGAGAAGGTTGGGGATAAAGACCTGAGTTGGCCTGGGCTCTAAGACTTGGCTCCAAGTACCAGCTTCTGTCAGTGGGACTCAAGGTCTATCAGGACCACCCAAGAGTAAGGCACAGCACATTCCTGGGAGAACACAGGCACTGATGCATAGAGTGTGTTTTGAGGACAGATGAGTCCAACTTGCAATTGGGAGGCCAGTGCCCTCTAGTTCCTCTACAGAGAGCCAACAGTGCCCCTGAAGGAGTCTCAAAGCAGGCCTCTGCCAGCTACTAGTGACCTAGCACACCTCGCCACTCCTATAGCTCAAAGAGCAGGCTGCACTCCTCAGAAAAATCCAGAAATACCCAGTTTCTTATGAGCAAAGGCAAGCTTTCAGTCAGCTCAGCTGTCTAAGTCTGATGCTACCAGACCTGTCTCGATGATCTCAAAGACCTAGCTTACCCAGAACCACACGGAACAGGCACAGGCAGCTAGAGAAGAAGCTAAAGCTGACTTCCAGTCAGTGGGCGGTGGCTGGAGTGGCAAAACCAGTCCTGATTCCACAGTCACTTAACAATTCCTGAAAATCTTTAGCCGTATCATCTGAAAGTGTTCTGGGGAGTAGGGTCATTCTTCATAGAGCCCACAACTCCATGAGAAAAAAAAAAAAAAAACTTGGATTTTTGAGCCCTTTGAGCAGAAGGGTAGAAGCAATGTGCTCACATTAACAGGAACATCAGTGGAGGCAGGGTCAGCACAGCAAAGAGCATATACAAGGAGGTCATATGAGGCACAGGACATTAACTTATGCTGAAGATGTGGAGAAGCACGAATGATTCACCAAAGGGCATAGCAAAGAGAGACCCTTGCTCCATGGATTGTGCCTACTGGAAATATACTGGTCGGAGAGGCCTTGACCACGGACACTCAAAGACATTATTAGTTCTTAGAGTCTGTTCACCATTCTTGATATCCATGTCTGCTAGTGGGGGACTGCTTCAAAAGTAGCACAAACTCTGAACTCTTCCTAAAGGCTCTTTTCTTAAACTTGGTAATGAAATACTCACTATCACACGTTACCCCATGTCTGAAGAAATCAAGTGGCCAGGCTGGGGATGTGGCTCAGTAGGTTAAGTCCCTGCTATGTAGGCATGGGGCCCTGAGTTCAGATGCAACTCAAGTTGTGAAAGTCCACAAGACCTAGCCAGCTGACCTTAACACACAAGGAAAGGTAGAAGCAATCAAGGAACAGAACCAGGCGTAGGTGGCCTTACCTAGCCCACAAGACTCAAGGAGGCAATAATCAAGGACTAGTCAGAACAGAGAAGACAGACAAACCAAGGGAGCCAAGGCCAGGTGAAGAAGTCCCAGCACATTGGAAATCCCGACAGACAGCAAACAAGTGGTTGCTGGTGGCCAGGGCCACAACTGGCTCTCCACATGGGAACCATTTCAGAAATACACATGTAGAAGGACAAGCCAGAAGCAAAGGAACAATGATGGAGCCATCACAATCCCTGAGCCAAGTTACACTACAGAAACACGGTAACAAACAGCAAAAACACAGACCAAGGGAATAGAACCCAAGACCCAGAAACAAGCCCACGGAGCTACACCTACCTGACTTTCCATGGGTGCCAAAGCATACACTGAAGGAAACACAGCCTTTTCTAAACCACTAGAGGAAAATGACTTAAATTCTATCTCTCAACCAAGTTTAAAAAATCAATTCGAATCAGATGACGGACTTTACTAAGACCTCAAACTTTGAACCTGAGAGGAAAACACAGGACTAGGACTTCAGTGGTCTGGGAAACCCCAGCAAGAACTGACAGATTGGATTGTATGAGACAAGAGTGCAGAGATGGCATGCAGAATGGAGGGAGCAATTTGTCCTCTGACAGGCGGTTGATATCCAGAATCTACAAAAACCACAAAAAGCTGAACACCGAAACCTCATCCCATCAATAAACAGGCAAATGAACTGACCACACAAGTCTCTAAAAGGGAAATACATAGAGCCAATAAATACATGAACAAGTTTTCAGCAGCCTTAGCTATGAGGGAAATAACAAAACCAAACTTCTTTGAAAGTCTATCTCACTCCAAAACAAGAGGCTACCCTTCAAACAATAACTAACGCTAGTGGGAAGGAGATGCCTTACCCCACAGCTGGGGGAATGTAAACAGGTGCAGCCCCTAGGAAATCAGTATAGAGTGTTCTTAAGACACCCAAAACAGAACTGCCATATGATCTTCCTACATCATTTCTGGGTATTTAGCTGGAGAGAATTAAGTATGGTTATGCAAGGCTATGCACAACAGCCAAATCCATTAACAGATGAATGAATAAAGAAAAAGTGGTAGCCAGGCAGTGGTGGCGCACGCCTTTAATCCCAGCACTCAGGAGGCAGAGGCAAGTGTGAGTTCAAAGCCAGCCTGGTCTGCAAGGCTACAGAAAGAAACCCTGTCTTGAAAAATAAGAAAATGAGAGAAAGAAAATGTGGTATATGTGGTGAATGTAGATAATCAAGTTTTATTCAGCTATAAAAGATGAAATTCTGCCATCTACAGGAAAATGGATGGAACTGGAGTGCATCGCGTTAAGTGAAATAAGCTAGATTCAGATGATTATCATGTTTCTCTTATTGCAGAATATGGTCATGAGTGTATGTGTTTGTGTGTGTATACATGAGGAGGAGGGGGCAGAGGGAGAGAGGGAGGGAGGGAGAAGGAGAGAGAACTAGAAGAGACTAATTAGGTTTCAGGAAAGGAACAAGTAGCAAGCGAGCAAGGCAGAAGAAAGGATAATTAATGGGAGGAACACAAGCAAAGTACATACATGTGTAAAATGTTTTAATGAAATCCATTAAATTGTATGATTAGCTTTTTTAAAGTAAAAATGAAAACATTAGGGAATAGGGAACACATAGATATGTAATAGTCAGGTAAATCCATTCAAAGTACTTTATGTATGAACAAAAACACCCTTATGAAACACACTAGCTAGCGCACACTGCTACCACCATCTGTCAACATCTACCACTATAAGGACAGGCATACTCAGGGGTGCACTGCCCCAGGAGCACTACACATAAGCACACTGCTAGGACCGTCTATCAATGCCTACCATAATGAGTAGCAGTCCATACATATGCCACATGGCAAAGCCATGACAAAAAACTAGAGAGCCACCATTATCCCAGGGGTTACTTATATCATATAGAGGAGCTTGAGGAAAAAGAAGGGACTTCAAAGAACCAACACCATTCTCTGTCTTGGGCCTGACAGTGGGGACTTGAAATTAAAAATTAAATTAAATCTTAGATTTTTTTAACTTGGGCATATATGTTAAAGGCAGCCAGTCTTCTGCTCTGATGTTTTTGCCATAAAAATCAAGAAGAGGAATGATTGATAGACCAACTCTTATCTGACAGACACCAGAAAAGTTTGATGAACTGATTCAATAGCAAGTAAAAGTTCCTGGACTCTTAAACTGTGGCCCCATTTGTGAATTACAAATAAAAATAAAAAGTGAAAAAAGGAACCATGATACCAAGTGTAGTGGTTTGAATGAGAATGGCTCATATATTTGAATGTCTAGCTCCAGTTGGGGACTGTTTGGGAAGGCCTAGGACATATGACTTTGTTGAAGAAGGGGTGTCACTAGGGAAGTGTGTCACTAGGGGTGGGCTCTGAGGTTTCAACAGCCCACATCAGGCTCAGACTCCCCTCTCTCTCTGCTTGCAACTTCTGATCAGATGTCAGCTCTCAGCCACTGCTCCAGCACCATGGCTGCTGTCTGCTGCCATGTTCTCCACCATAATGATCGTGGACTCACCCTCTGAAACTGTACGCGAGCCCCCAAGTAAATGCTTTCTTCAATAAGCTGCGTTGGTCACGGTGTCTCCTCATAGCAACAGAACCATAACTGAGACATCAAGTAAAGTGACAAGGAGCAAAACCAATGTGGGAGACACGGCAGCCTCAGCACTGTTAGGCTGTGGGAATGCCAGTGTCACTATCCACTGCTCTAAATGCACAGGAGGGGGAGGAAGACCTGTAAGAAGAATCAGGGCACAGTGAGAAGGAAGGGGCAGCTTCTCCCTGGCAGAGCCTGCAGACCAGGGACAGAGTAACAGCAAGGTGGTTCCCACTCAGCATCTCAGCACAGCTCGTGGTGACATGGACAGTAAACATCAGATGAGGGCAGGGATACTGCAGCACAGTCATGACAAGGAGGGAACAGGGGGCTGCTGCCAGTCACCTGGCAAGCACAGGTGCACCAGCAGATCAGGAGTCCTGTCAACAGGGGCTACAGAGCAGAGAACAGCACCTGCCCCCAGCCCCCACCCCAAGCACACGAGGCATATGGGGACCAGGATCTGGACCTAGGCATACTGCCACCTCCACTCATAAAACATTTGATGTCTGACAGAAGAGGCTGATGCTCCACTGGGACCTGAGTTCGAAAAACATCCCTTCTTTCCCAGTCACAGGAAGCTCCTAGGTCCACTCAGAGTTGCGGTCAAAGCTTGGGTTTCATGGCCTATGTGGTTCACTACGCTGGGTCTGTTCAGGTGTAACAAGGTATCGTGTCTCAGCAGCAACCTTGGAGCAGTCTCTTACTTCTTCCTACTCTGGCTGCTCTAAGAAGCAAAGGACAGACAACAGGACGGCTGTGGAGGAAAGGCCCCTGCGCAAATATTGAAGTTGCCAACATCTGCACTTGAATACAGGTCTTCAACAAACACACAGGACTAGCCACAATAGCTAAGTGCCACAGGTCATCTTAGATGGACTTCATTCAACAAAATGGGCAGGAACTAAAAGTGAAAGGTAGCTAACTTTTCTTTCAAATATCAATAGTTTTTTTGGGGGGAAAAAAGCCTAATTTCAGAAAACACCCCTGAGCCCCACCAAGCTGCCATGTGAAATTCTGTTCTCAGAATACTGCTTTGTTTTCCCATCTATGTCCAGTGAAGTAACTCCATGTCACCAAACTAAGTCACCGGGGTACAAGCAGTACCACACTGCCAACTCATATGACTTCAAAGGGATGTGCCAGCTCTTCCTATCTGTGTCGCATTAATTCCCTGCTAGTGGGATGCAAATGTGAGCAAGAGCACCAAGCAGCTGCTTGGACTCTGAGGTTAAAGTCAAGTGCACAGTGGCAACCAGCCGTCCGACAAACAACTAGCTCTGAGGACGCTAATCAACTTCTATCTCATGAAGCTACCATGCCAATAGATTTGCTGTCACCATGGATAAAGCCCAACTTCCGAGGTGCCAGAAATCTAATTGGCTCCTGAAAACTAGCCAATGCAAGACCCACCTTTCAGTGTTTCTCCTCAAGCCCCTGCTCCTCATGTCGTATTCCCCAGTGCAGTCACACTCAAATTATCCACAGTCACCCTTGGCAGCCTGGATAGTCTGCTCTCCTCCCCCAGAGGTCTGCCTGTCCTACAGGCTGCTCAGTCCCTGCTCAGCCCTGCCAACTGCTAAATACACACCTCCATAGCTCTGGAGGAGTCTCAGGGGCTGAGTGAAACTCACAGTCAGGGAGAAGCTGCAAAGCAAGAGGACCAACGCCTGACCACAGTCAGTCACCAAGCTGGTGACTCTGGACCACAAGTGAGACCAGAGGTCACAGGCCAGCTCTGTAAGCAATGTGCCAAGTTGTAGGGTAAAAACAGAATCACACAAAGACAAACCAAAATCTATTTTCCATTTTTAAAGAAAACCTTAAGTAAAGGAGAGGTGCATTAGCCTTGTTTCCAGACTCTGTGAGCACAGCACTGAGAAGGGCAATCAGAGAGAAGGGCCTTGGAGCAGCACTCCTGTGGAAACTCATTTCCCCTTCTGTGCCCCACAATCTACGAGCACTTTTATTTCAGCAATGTTAGAATTTTTGAGCAGCTTTACTGAGCAGGCAAGAGATGTCCACGGTTCAAAATGCATTTACTGGGGGAAAATAAAGATGAAAAACAAAGTATTTCAGAGAGTAAGTCTACTTTAAAGCGATACCACTTACTTTAGTAACAAAAATATAAAGGTTAGGAATAAATCTAATAAAGCATGTACAAGGCCTTTCATAAAGGTTTCCCTTGGTCTACTGGCCCAGGCCTACAATCCCAGACACTTGGTGGGATAAAGCCAAGAGGATCTGAAATTCAGGGAATGTGCAAGAGTGAGTTCAAGGCTACCGTGGGCAACTTAGACAGACCTAGTCTCAAAATAACAAATAAAAATAGGACTAGATTCCGTTCAGAAATCAAACACACTTTAAAAAGAAAACTGTCAAGGTGATTCTGAAAATAACATAAATGAGTGAAGGCTAAAATAACCCAGTCAACTCAGAAGAGTAAGGGGGAGGCACTAGGGTCCTCATGGACGCCTGCGGATGTGGCACAGACAGAACACTGCAGTGACAAGGCCAAGTTCCTGCACCGTTCCCACTGACTGCCTGCAGATGCTGCTATCAGCTACAAATTAAATGAATGGCGGGGAAAGAAAAACTTTCAGATGAGAAGATGAGAGAAGACTTACAAGACAGATGTTGAGGGAAAAGAGTTCTTAAAGTAAGCATTCCATAATAACCTAAGGGGGCATCATATTCAACTCAGCACGGCTAAGCATAGCCCATCAAATAACTGTCAAAAATTAGAATCCCAAATGTATAAAGATCACAAACTTATTTTTTTAATGGGTTAAAAAAAAAAAAAGAAAGAAAAGGGGTGGTATAGACAGTCACAAGCATTTCCCAGAACAGGGCACAGAAGACACCCATCTCTATATGCATATATACTCTTTAGCTAGGGAACATGAAGCCAGGAGCATGATAAGAATATCCACCAGACACACAGAGCTCGGGAGCCTGGATATGCTCCAAGAACTGCCCAGGAGTGGAAATCCAGACTTCCAGCACTGCAGGTGAGCATCATCTGCAGACCCCTCCAGGAAGCATATTGATGTTATCACGAAAGCCTCGGAGAAATTCTCACAGGGGTACACACGCATAAATGCACATGAGGACTCTACCAACACTGTCCCAACAGCATAACATTGGGAGGCGTCCAGACATTTGTCCTGACTGCTACACAATAGAAGAAAATACGAGTTGCAGAGACTGAATTGCACAAAGAATGGCACACACAGCTCCAGACTCAACAAAAACACCACACTGCTTCCTTAGTGCTAAAGCCACAAAGTATGGCAAATAAAAGTCAAAGACGGATAGTCTACTCCTTTTTATGGGGGGAGTGGGGGCAGAGATGAAGCTTGGGTAGCAGAACCCTGAGCATGGAGAAATAGCTTTTATGCTACCAGCTTCAAGCTCACAGAGGTAGTTGGTCAGCACTGGAGGGATTCTGGCTCCTAAATTCAAGGACATAAGTTTCTGTTAGAAATACTCATACACATATTACATATATTCTTTTGTATGAATCGTTATATAAGAATAACGTTCTGAAAATAATCAGTTGTTCACATGTCGACTAATTATATACTTCGGGGGCTCCTAGATCAGGCCCCTCAAGTGCAGTGAGCAGCAGTCACACAGAGAGACAGACATCAGCAGAGACTCCCCAGCCAGTGCTCCTCTTACCTCAGTCACCTTGGGCTGAAGAATCAGCGCTTCGGGGCTCATCCGAGGGATGTCGATGTGGATCTGCAGATACAGAGAGACATATGCTTAAATTATAGGATGAGAGAAGTCCTGGATGACACATGCTACTTGCCCTTAACGTGCTCTGAGGACTGTCACGAGGCTCCTCAACAGGAGGTACCCAACTGAGCAGGGCTCAACTGTCCTCAGGAGACAGGCACGCTGCATGGTTAGGAACAGAGTGGACCCTCAGCTCCACAGTAACATAAGCCAAAGCAATCAGTGAACACTGATTTTCAGCCCAACACTTAGCATGATTCAAGGACACAGACAGAGCCTAGGGTTTCAGCTGTGCAAGACTATCTGGAACACAGGCCATAATTTCCTCTATTGCACAATGTCCATGAGGAATCTAGAACACCTTAAAGGAAGCATTTGAATGTCTCTGCTAGTGTCAGCAAATTCCTGCCTGAGCACCACCTGACATGAGAGTCTTGCCACTGTTTGCTGGAACTTCAGTAGAGACCTCATGTGGGTGGGGTCCAAGAGGTGACCCAACAGGAGCATTCTGAGCACAGCCGGCATCACAGACTGGCTCCACAACCCAGGCGGGCACCCCATACCAGTAGCACTAGCATCACTCTGGGGTTCCAGAGCAACAGCCTGCACAGACAGAGAAGAGGCGAGCCATTTAACCCAAAGGGGACTCGCAGTCTCTCTCTATCCTTGTCCATGTGCAGAGAAGCAGCTAACATCTAGTAACTGAGGTCACCACTTCACTCTAACACTAGCTGGCCTGTGGCCAACAGTAAGCCATTAGGTTCAACCTCCTCAACTACAAAAGGCCTGCTCTCTGTGTCCTTCAAAGGGTTCCCGGTGACAGTCAGAATCTGGGTCCTCAGCACAGGGGAACAAGGTGAGATAAACTTGCAATTCAAATACACAGAGAGCACATAGAAGGAAAGTCCACAAGCAACCTGCTGAGGGACACCCACATAGAACAGCAAGGTCAAGCAAGGTCAGAGAACTCAGGAGGGCCACATGCAGGAGCCCAGGCATAGGTGAGAGACAAGAATGCCAAGGTCCACTGGTTGGAGAGCCACCCTCAGTACACGGTCCCCTTCAGTGACAGTCCTGTGGAGAGATACACACTGTACACTAGACTCATGGAAGATGGACCTGCCTCTGTACCCACTACCAGCAAGAATAAACTTATACAAGAGCCACGGGCAATGTATTTCTTATGCGGATAGGACAGCACATCCATCATGCCCCATATCCTACCCCTAGCCTGCCTCATCAATCGCAAGCCTGGGAAAATAGGAGAAAGGCTACAAGTGTTAGCAAGACTAACCTATAGAGAGAAAGCCAAACCATGCAAATGCTATCTCTAACTAAATGCCTGTGATCTGAACATAAACCTTCAGGGGCCAGTAAATATATAATAATCAAATGCAGGAAGGCAATAGTTTGAGGAGCTATAGTCCTACAGAAACAGGCTACAGAGTGCCAGCCACAAGCCTAGGCACCACCCTCCAGAAAGAGGCTGTAGAATGCCAGTCACAGGTCAAGGTGCCACCTCTCAAAAGCAGGCTAGAGAGTACCAGGAACAGGCCAAGGCGCCACATGCCCACCATCACCCAAGGCAGATGAAGGTCGTCACTAACAGAGCTCAGCATCTATTTTGTAACCTGACTCGAGTCTCATGTTTTACCTCCGAGAAGGAACTCAAATAAGCCAGATGTTGCTGCTGGTAGCAAATTGCCATTAATTGCTTTCAAATGTTTATTGTTAGAAAACATAAATCTGCAAGCCTATCAGGTTCCTGATAGATGAAACATCCCCTACAAACCAGCTCCAAACCCCAGTATTGAGTGATACGTGGGAAAGAGAAAGCCTCACATACCTGGCGATATGTGTCCTGGTGAACTTCATCATTCCTCGAGTTGTAATAATGCTCAATGAAAGCAAAGTATTCCTTTTGCTTTCTCTGCAGTGTGGCTGGTCTCCGGTCAACATTGGCAGGAAGATAACCCTGGAGAAGCAAAAGAAACACAGGCATCCATGGTTACTGTGCATCAGGAGCGTGAAGAACAAGTGGTCACTTCCAGAATGACCCAGGCATATGGAAACCCATCTAACAGAAGGGAGGACATTACGAAAAAGCTGCTCACACAGAACAAAGCGACAGGACAGCACACAGCACCAGCACCCCCACCAGTGCTGTCAACCAGGTCTAAATCATCACTCGCATCCACCAAAAGTCATCTGATGGCACCTGGATTGTACGCTTTCCTAACACATGGTATGGAGATGCTAAAAGCCCTCTCCACAGGGCTCATGTCCACAAGGAACTGGGAGCCTGTCTGGTCTTATACTCATACCATGCACACATACACACACATTGCATTTATGTGCTCAAAGCTGCTGTGTGGGTAATTCTGCATCTACTCTTTGAAGCTCCTGGGGCTTCTGACACTATGCAATACATAAAATGGACACATGTCCAGAAAGAAGTAGGTTGCTCCAGCAGCCATAAAGTGCTTGACATTTTATGTGGCTTCTTATTTGTTTTCTTGTTCTACATTTTAAATTAATCTTATGATATGATACATAAGGTATAATTTTGAAACTTTGTCAATTTTAAGCATAGACCTGTGACCCTCAAGTAGAGCTTCAGGAAGTTGACTACTGTTCTCTGAAAGACAGAAGGAACTTTCCATTGCCCAAAATGATGGTGTCCTCTGCAACCTATTCCCACCATCCCACCTGGACCCTGGAAATGCTAGTTTCTTACTAGGAATGACTGGGCTTGTTTGAGACTCTCCAAAAACAGACTCACTTAGAACCTAGGATTTTGTGCACACTGTCTTCTGAGATGAGCCACACATGGGTAAGCTATTTATGAATGAACAAAGCTCAATGAGTATGCCTGCAGACTTTGGAAGCACGCATCTTAGATTTCTCAGGGCTGAATAGCAAGGAGAGATGCTGCATCAGAATGTAGACAGAAGTTTCTAAGAAACTGTCAGATCTTTTCCAAACAGGTAACACCATGTCAATTCCAGCCAGCACTGACTGAGGCACGCTAGATGGGTACATCATTCCTCTGGCCACAGAGACCTTGAGGCTCAGAGGTCAAGAAGAGACCCAAAGCCCAGAGCTTTTCTTTATTGATTCTGTGAATCAAGGTGAATATATGCAGTCTGAGCAGTGGCAGCAGCCACCCCACGACCACAGTGGTGAGGTACAAGCTGTTGTCCAGCCTTGCCAGCATGTGCTTGCTCAACCAAAGCTCCCACATTGGTCATTCGACCTCTCTGAAGCCAGCTATCCAAACCAGAACACAGTCAGAATCTGTATTTCCCAGGGAGCTGTTGGTGGCACAGCAAGGGGCAATACTGAGGGACAAGCACAGACGCAGTCCACTTTCCGGTCAGGCCATGGCCTCCTCCCAGGTCTGCAGCTGAGGCCTGTGGGAAACATCCTTGTTCCCACTGTGGAGTGGTGCTGCTGTGTCCTGGTGAGGCTGTCCTGTGATGAAGAACAGTCTCTCACTTGGAGAAAGCCCTAGTTACTCATGTACAGTTTGTAGTGATATTTCATTTGCATTTTAATAAACAAAGCCTGAAGATTAGAGAGTAAAACAACCACACTGATAAACCTTACAGACCAGGCAGTGGTGGCACACACTTTTAATCCTGGTAGCCACACTAGTTTGCCATAGAAACTCGGCAGAAGTGATGCATGCCTTTAATCCCAGCACTAGAGAGGACTATAAGATGGTAGGGGACAAATTGGAGGCTCAGTCTTACTCTGAGGATTCCTGGAGGCAGGATCGCCATTTCAGACTGATGTAGAGGTAAGAGCCAGTGGTTGGCTGCTTTGCTTTTCTGGTCTTCATGTTGAACCCCAATATCTGTCTCTGGGTATTTATTCATTGTTGGTGCTACAACAATGGATCCTTTTAGGGAGACACTCACTGCCCAATATTTAGGTTTATATGCTGCACTTTAAAGTCACAGCCAGGCATAGCTGTGCACGCCTTTAACTTCAGCATTTGGAAGGCAGAGGCAGGCGGAGTTCTGTGAGTTTGAGGCCAGCCTGATCTTCAGAGAAAATTCCAGAACAGCTAGAGCTACATAGTGAGAGCATACATTGTCTCTAAAAACACAAAACATACATACATACATACATACATACATACATACATACATACATACATAAAATCACAACCACATTCTCACTGTGATTAATTGCCACTCAACAACAGAAGCCACCAACTGAACTCACACCTGCTTTTGTAACTGATATCTTGTTGGGACACAATGTGCCTGCGTGTTGAATAATATGTGGCTGCTCCGTTACAGTGCCCACAGAACTCCATAGCTGCACGTGATCCATGCACTGACAGACTGACTATGGAGCCTTACAAGAATGCCTGCCAGCCCCTGCTGAGACACCATCCTGAATGCAGAACAGCCACGCCATGTGTCTACACACATCTACATAGCCCATCCCATTTCTAACATAGACACTATTTCCAATCATCAAGTGGAAACACACAACATCTGGTTATTTCCTGACATGAACTCCTCCTATGTGAGAGCTGTGAGCACTCCCAATTCCAATGCTTATTCCCAAGGAGCCCACAGGAGGTGACCAATGACACACCCAAGCAGCCCTATTACATACGTCGAACACAACTCACAGGTAAACAAACTGGAAAATGCTCACTTGATACCTTTCGAGGGAAAGGCTCGCAGCACTCTGCCGACTAGAAAGCACAAGCAGCAGCCTTCCCTTCTCTTCCCTGCAGAAAGGAGACTACTACGACTCCAATGCAGTCTGCCTCACATACCTGCTGTTTCACCAACAGGACCAGAACTAGCCTAAATGTCACCCACCTGGTAACACCTGTGGTCATCCCAACAGAGCTCTTGCTGCTAGGGACACAGGGCTGCCCTTGAGATGAAGGCACAAAATTACAAGGGTGAGGGTATAGACAGATATTTCTTCATCCGGTTAAAAGCTTCCCCAAAGACAACCCATCCAGGCAGTAGGCTTTGTCCATACCTCCTTTCTCCTTGTAGCTATCTCAGTTCCAGTTCGTATAAACTTAGAGAATAACAATTTCCTAAGATACATCTTGTTCTTTGTTTGATAACTTCCCATCCACAGGGTTTCTAAGGAAGGTGCAGCCCCTGATGTGGAATTCCCCTCTGTATGCTATGAATATGTTTTATTGCCATTGGTTAATAAAGAAACTGCTTTTGTACAAAAGCTTAACAGAATATAGCCAGGCTGGAAAAGATATAGAGAGAGTAGGTGGCCTCAGAGAGACACCAACAGACACACAGGAACCTGGCTGGTAAACCACAAGCCTCATGGTAAAATATAAAATAATAAAAATGGCTTAATTTAAGGTGGAAGAGCTAACTAGAAATAAGCATAAGCTACTGGCCAAGCAGAGTTTTAAATAACATAGTTTCTGTGTGATTATTTTGGGTCTGGGTGGCGAGGAAACAAGTAAGCAGCCACTGCTTACAGAATGGCACCCACTCTCTGGGGCATGCATCCAAATAAGACTTTAAAAAAAAAGCTTACAAAAAAAATGGGAGCCAAGCACAACTTCTTAGTAGCCACATTTTTTCCAGATAAGCTCTGTTTGCTGGCGGCAAACGGGCGCCACAGCTCCTTAAGGATAAGTCTTCCTGATTCAGCATTAATAGCAAAAACCATGCAGTTTCCAAATAAGGATTTTCCTGGTTCGTGCTAGTTACACCAACAGCTCTTTCAGGAGGCTGAGCAGCTTAAATGGGATCTGTGAGCAATATGTAACAAATTGTGTAATGGTAACAACATAGACCCCCTGCGACCCTGGAGCTGGGACAATATGCATGGCTCTCAGAGGAAGTGAATAGACTTCCTCCATGTTGGACTGGGAAGAGCAAGCAGGCAAGACCAAGGAGTTGGTCCTCGTCACACCCGATTAGCATTTTAAAGAAAAAAAGCACTTCTGGTCAAAAAATAATTACAGACAGGCAGGCAATAAAGACAAATTCACATGGAAAAGACCTCTGAAATGGGTCACAGTGTTGGATAAATGTATGTAGGCTTGAGGGGGGGAGAATATAGACAGTTATAAAAAGAAGTAAATTGTTTTAAAAATAAATCAAAGTCTTTAAAGAGACAGAGTACAGACAGTCATAGATTAAAGAAATAAAGAGAAATAAGCCACGTAAAGATGGAATATACACAAAGAGTCTGGATTATGTATATTATTGTGTTTTCTTTGAATTTTTGACTGTGAATGAACTAAGTACAAAGAGACATTTCATTGTACAGATTGCTAAACTAAACCAACATATATACTTTAAAGGTATCTTGACTTCAAAATTTGGGTCTAAGGATATGTTGCTTTGAAAAAGAGGTTCTGCTTTTGTTTCCATAAAGGATGAGAACCTGGGATTCCTTCCAGACTAATGTGGCTGGATGGAAGAAGACCCCTGAAAGAGCCCTGAAAGGTCTTCATAAACCCCTAAAATTACTTCATCCAACAAAAAGCAGGAAGTAATTTGGAGAGAACAATGCCCAAATTCCCTAAATGATTGTTTATAAATGTTCATTTACATTTAAAGGGGAAATATGATATAGAGATGAATATTTTGGATTGGGGTATGGATCTTGGCTTATTGATACAAATTTAAAGTCCATTTTGTTATATGTATTTCTGCTCTTGTTTAAAGTATTGTGTTTGTGCAGTTCATTTAAAAATATAATGTATAATTAAGAAATACAGGTTAATAGTCATCTATAATAGTCAAACTTGTAATTATTTTAGTTGCTTTCTAGAACTACACAGATATTTTCAGATTGGATAGGGATTCTTCAAATCTTTCAAAGTCCTTAAAATATGGCATTTAAAATATTTTAAGATCTTAGAACTTTTCATGACAATGAGACTCATTTGTTCCTGGCAGCACCAATCTACTTCAAGAGGATGACGGACATTGAAGAGGCTCATTATGGAGT